ACTCCCAAAGCAAAGTAGCTTAGAGAGGCGACTAGCCCAGAGTCTGAGGCTCTTTTTATAGGGGGTTACAGGGGAAGTTCACAGGTGAAATTTACAGAAGAGGAACAAAGGTTAGTGGTCAGCTGACACGTACTGATGGTCAGCAGATGTTTGTAGATTGTTCTATAGATAGCGGTGTCCGGAACATCAGTTTCGAACAAAGAGTTGAGTAATTTACTTTGGGACCTTATGGCTGATACAGATCTTATCTAGTGTCCCGGAACTAACAAGCATCTTTATCTATTTACTCACATTCACAGTTGGGGCTAGGGGAGTTTTATGATTACAGAGTTATGCAGTCCCACAGTTGCACAGGACTGAAGAGGAAAACAAAGCCCAAATATCCAGTGAGCTCTTAGGGGGCAGGCAGTGGACAGTGGGGCCAGTGGCATTAGGGACACAGGGAGGGGTGGCCAGGGTGCTCACTCTGGGAAGGGGCGGAGCACTGACTTCACGGAATGACCTGAGAAATGCAGGAGGGCGCCATGGTGCGTGACATTAAAGAGCTGTCTCTTCACACCAGGCCTTTCCAGGTCTCTGAGACTGGAGAGTGCACGTAAACTTGAGGGGACAGAATGTAGAGGATTCCCTGTCTTCCTGTTCGCAGACCCCCCCTTCCTTGACTTTTTTCTGACGGTGACCTCACCCTCTCACCCTCAGGACACAAGGTGACCTCTGTCCCGGCTGTAGCGTTCTCTCTGGCTCTCCAAGGGGCTCCTTATGTGGGCGTCCAAGACTACTTGAGAGCTAGGAATACTCCGTATTCCCCTCAAAATGTATACAGCCAAGCAACTTAGCTAAACCCCCAAATCGCTCTCCCCAACCCTCCGAACTACCCAGGTGAATCAATAAACTAGTCCATGAGAGGGAATTGCAGCTGTTTTATATACTTTTTAAAATCAGTGTTCGGTTATGAGATTACAAACTGGAACCGCACAGCGCAGATTCCCTTTGGCCTCGGTCCTCTCAGGAGCTGTTGAGCCCGCAGCTGGGCCTGGGTCTCCCCCGCGCCCCAGCCTCTGCTGGGAAGGGCCCGGCTGCCCTCCGGGCCCCGGAAATCTGCAACAGCCGCTGCGCCTTCCTCTGACGGCTTCCTCGGTGCCCTGGACGTGGGCCCTCTCCTCCTCCTCGGCCCAGGGCCTCGGGAGGCGCCGTCTCTGTCCCTCCTCTTGCTCCGCGCCCGCCCGGCCCCGGGGGACCTCGTGGAACAGCTGGGGCCTCTGCTCCAGCAACAGCTGCCTGAGCAGCGCCTCGGCTTTGGCCGAGGGGTCGCCGCGCTGCTCCGGCCTTCGCCAGGCCTGTGCTTGGTGGTCGAGGGCCGCCGCCGGGTGCAGCTCTCGCCCCCGCTGCGCCCCCGGAGCCGGTTCAGCACCAGGGCCAGCACCCGGGGGTCCGCGGCGCTGGGCTCCCGCGGCCCGCTCTTCCGGGCGCTCTCGCGAGTCTCCGAGGCCCCGGCTCCCGGGAGGTCGCGCGGTGCACCGGGCCGCGGCGGGGCGTCCTGGGCCCCGAGCGCCCCCCAGGTCTCCGCTCGTCCGAGCTGGGACCCGCGAGCCGGGGGGCTGAGGCTGCGGGGCGCGCGCGGGGAGGCGGGGTCCGCGCGCAGGAGGGGATGCGGGCGGGGCCTGGGGTCGCGTCCTGGCATCCTCCCTTGGCGATGGAGTCTGCGGGGTCCGCACTGGCACCGCTCCCGGCCCGGCCTGGCCCGTCCGCTGTGACGCTGGGGCCAGTTCACAATGCAGCTAGGGCAGGGAGAGGCCTGCGGGAACCGGGCGGCAGGAGTCCGGCCCTAAGTCCCAGCGCCCTGAATGGGGGGGACCTAGCGGATATGGGCTCCTGTCACCCCCTGCCCTGTCCTGGCTGCCACCTTCCTTCTGGTACTACTCACCAGCGGCCACGGAAGCCAGGCCCAGGCCACACCTTCTGTGCCCTTTTAAGTCACAAGTCCCGTTTAGTTTTGAACTTGAGGACAGCAGAAATACCACTCCATTTCCCCCCGATATTCCTTTTGTCAAGCCAAGTGTGCACCTTTCTGAAATAGCATCAGTGAACACCAGGCAGAAATTACATCTATTGCTTGGTCGTTTCCCCCAGCGTGGTCAGACTCTGTCTTTGCTGAGGCTCCCAGGGTTTAACCAGAAAGCTTTGGATTTCAGGGACACGGGTTGCAGCCCTCTTCTGCTGTGTCAGCGCTGTGGCCTTAGCAAGCTAGTGCTGTTCCTGACCCTTAACTGGAGAGGGGTGCAGGGCGATTGTGCAGGAAGCTTAGCACCATAAATGCAGTCAGTGGATGTTATTTTCACTTCCTGCTAGGCTTTGGTTAAAAGTTTTAAGACAATGTATAGGCTTGCAAACATTTCTGCAGGTTCCTTTAGGAAAAAAATTAATGGAATCCTAAAACAGTTTAGGTGAAAGACAGACTGCTAGGAAGGGGTGACTGGCTACAAGTCCTGTGGACCCTGGTGAAGTGGGGACAGAGTCCTGGGGGTGGGATCAGCGCCCTTGCGGCAGAGCTACCTGGTCCCCGGGTGTGAGAACCAGCCCCAGGTGCTGGAAGACCCAGACAGAGGCAGGCAGACCCAGGCTGCACAGAGCTGCTCACGGAGGATGTAGTGACAGTGTGGTCCTGGGTGCAGCAAGACCAGTGTGTCCGTGATTGCGTCAGAGGTGGGGATTCTCGAGGTGGTCAGGACCGAAAGGACGCCGTCCCCGTACGAATGTCCCTGGCTTTTCTCAAGCCAACATCAAGGACATCAAGAACCTTCTTGGCACCAGCGGCAGGGTCCCGGCTGTAAGGCTGCACACACCCCACAAATGGTTTGAGTGTTCTGGGAAACTCCAGGGAAACCAAGGACAAGCATGGCAGCCATGACTCCAGGCAGCTGTGGAATCCACACAGCCCTTTGTTGGGGGCCCGCAGCTCCTTGTCCTGTGAGTACACAGTGAAAGGACGGCTGTCTAGACCGGGAAGGGGCCCACCGGCCCCCAGGCCACTCCGCCTCCAGCACCGGGAGATGTGCAGCCCTCTGCCCAGAAGCCTGCTCTGGGGACTTGGCTGTAGTACGCAGGAGGACTAAGGGTCGACCAGAAGGCTCTGGAGAGTGTTCTTCAAGGTGGCCGCTCCTGAACACGAGGGTTTCTCCACCCCAGTCCTCTTCACACACGCCTCCTGGAGACAGCAAGGGCCGGTAGAGTTGACAGCATTTTCTTCAGGACACATCTGAGGCTTAGAGATCACTTGGTCAGTGGCTGGAGTTTTGACTTCGGACTCACTTCTCTCTCTGGGATATCATGCTGCCTCCCAGGAAATGCACTCGGAACTGAGACATGTATCTAAGAAAATCATGGTGACAGTGCTGTCCCAGAGGCGCTCTGCCTGGACCTGTCTCCCCAGTGGTCATCAACACATCTGAAGTGAGGACAAGAAGCTGTGTGCACCCTAAGTTTCTCTTCCACCTTAATTTATGTGATTATAACCCTTACTGGGAGGGAGGACTGTTTAAAACACAGAACCAAATCTGAAATGGACACCACTCTGTGAAGTTAGAAACATTCAGAGCAGAGGGCTCAGCGCGGTGTCTCCATGAAGCTTTGTAGAACACTGAAGGAGGAGCATGGCTCTGGCCGGTCCCCAAGGCACTTCCTGTCCCAGAGAAGCACTGTCCCATGGGTTCAAGCCCAGTGCCCCAGGGCCAGGAGACCCCACTGGCAGCCACGCTCACCAGGCACCCTTGAGTTCAGTTCCCTCATGTGCAGGAGGTGACCTGGACAGGCTCCTTCAGCCCAGGGACCTGGAGAGCGACTTGCGCTAGTGAGTGCTTCTGCCCTCATCCAGTAGAGCAGAGGTAGCCATGACAGCCACCCACAACCGAGCTGGTGCACAGCTGCGTCCCCTGCACTCACCCCTGGTGGCCCTGAGGTTGCTTCGTGGGAGCACTGTGGCAAAGGCCCAGGAGGCTGGATCCGAGTCTCAGCCAGGTCAGAGCCAGAATTCAAACTCAAGGGCTCTGATTTCCAGTTCAGGAAATTGCCAGCCTCTCTCAGAATTTGTCACAGAGTTGTGTGTGGCTCTGCTCTGCTGGAGATGGAGAAAAACACAGTCTCAACTTTATAACCGAAGCTCCGGACCAGGCTGGAGAGGTGACATTGCCAGAGAGACGGGCACAGGTGACAGCTGTGGGGAGTGGTGAGTCAGAGGAGCTTCGGGTTCTCTCTGTATAGCGCTCAGGGAAGGCCTCACGTGGGGGATGACATTGCAGCCGAACCTGGGGTGACAGTTGGGATCCAGGAGAGGCAGGGGCGGCAGGGAGGGGAAACCAGGAGCTTGGCAGGGGTGGGAGGCACGGCCTAGGGACAGACAGGAGGCTGAGGCAGGACTCAGTCCACAGGAAGGGTTTCTAACCTGGAGCCCCCGCAGGTGTGCATGGCAGTGACAGAGGGTGCAGTCACGGTGGCCTCAGGGGGAGTGGTCTTGGAAATCAGAAAGAAGCTGTAGTAAGAAGCAGCCCCCACCAGAAGAGCAGAGACCAGAACAGAGTGCTCCCCGGCCATACTCTGACAGAAACCTTCTCTGAGGAGGCCCAGGGCCTAGGCCGCGTGCGCAGAGCAGGGTGGTCTCCTCAGGTCTGAACCGGACCCCCTCGGGTCCCAGCCCAGAAACCGCAGGCCTGTCCCCACAGATGTTGGGGGCTGCCAAGGGGAGGCCACCAGGCACAGCCTGCCGCTCTCGTGTGGCCACAGAGCCCTCAGTGTGCCAGAGTCGGTGCCTGAGGAGGTGGCCACTGCACCATGGGGACGTGAGCCTCTGCTCAAGTCTGCAGAACAGCTGGGCACTGGCAGGGACAGACTGCGGGATGCCACTGGTGGTCCATCCCCTGACCCTCGGGCAAGCAAGGCAGAGACCAGCGAGGACCCCACACAAGCATGAGCCCTGGACCTGAGCTCACAGAAAGCACACACTGGATTTCAGAGACGTAGTGAGAAAAGTGTAAACCATGCCTGCGCTTCTTAAATATTAGCCGCATGCTAAGAGAGGGTATTTCCAACTCGTTAAGACTAAAAACAATGTATATCAAAATTAATTTCACTACAACGTTTTGATGTAGCGACCAGTGAATGAAAATTATATATAAGTAGATGTAACATATATCACAGTATATTTCTTTCCTTTTGTAGGCGATGTTTGGTTTTTTATATTTTTTATATTTACTGTTTCACTGATACATAAAAACATAAAAATTGCATATTCATGGGGTGCTGCAGAATGGTTTGATGCATGTATACATTGTGTGTGTTTAAATCAGGGAAAGCACATCCATCTCCCCAGACATTTACAATTTCTTCATGGAGAAAGTTTTCAGACTTCTCCGAGCTCTGGCTGTGTGTGCCGTGTGCTGCTCTCTGGAGTCGCCCTGCTGTGCCCTCAAACCCGCTTCGTCAGGGCTCCCAGCCCAGCGTTTCTGCAGGACAGGACTGAGCACCTGTTCACATCAGGGAAAATTTCATTATATATAAATGTATTGCTTTGAAATCGCCTTTTCTAAGAAACTAATATTTAGGTGAGACTTTTTTAAACTGCTGCCTGGATGACAGGATAAATTCTTGATTTTCAAAGTTCAGCTTTATGGTAAAACTTCACAGGATTTCAGCTGTTTTCTGTCCCACCTGCACGTTTTCCGCACTGCCCAGGACGTCAGATTCTCCCACATAACCTCGTCTGCAGGGGGCTGCTGGCCTCATGCGCCCGCAGGGAGACCGGGTCTGGTCTAAAACATGAGAGCCACAAAACCGTAAACACAAATGGCAGGAACCAGACAGCCACGCAAACACCCAGGGCAATAAACGAAGAACTTTATGCAAATGTAATGCTAAGGATGAAAATTGTATCTGTAAACTTCTTTCTTTTTTAAAAAAGAAAATAGTGGGTTAAGTAGGTGGAAATCAGGGAGTTCGGTTCCCATGGAAACAGTCACTCACCCACCGCGCAGACACTCCGTGCGGATGAGCAGTCCTGTTGGTAAAATGAGGGCGGAGTGTGTGTGCGGCAGCGAGGCGCACTCCGTGTGGAGCCCACCCCAGCAAGGAGGAGCCACGCCTGCGCTACGGGCTAGCAGCCTGCAGGAAGCAAGGGTGGGCGCCAGCCTTCCCCAAGCCTCCCCTCCCACCTGCCCGCCGATGCTGCGGGTCATTGCCAGAGAAAACTGGTGTGGACCGGGGCCAGAGAGGATTTTACTGTTTCTGGTTTTGCCTCATCTTAGGATTTGAATGTTTTTCACATTTGTAGCCTGAACACAATTCTAAGCAGGAGAAGGTGACTGGAGGAACCGAGAGTGAACAGGTTCAGATCCGCCGGGAGACAGCTGGGCACTTGCAGTGACCCGGAAACACAGCCTTATTTTTAAACAAACACAGCGGGAGGCTTACTCAGCGAAGCTGGGGGAGAAGGCTCCATCAGCAGCTTGTCTGGTTGGGGTAACTTCTTCACCTTCTACAGAATGTGGGCATTACATTGAATCACTTTATTTTTAAAGAACGTGCTTTCTTGGAACTTGTTAAAAATGTGTGGGTCTTTTAAAGGTCTTTTTGGTTTTTTTTCTGTTTGGCTAAAATTGAGCCTGGATTCTAACTATGATGAACGTTTGCTTTTCAGGAAGGCACTGGTGAGGGCAGACAGCGCTGCCCTGCAGCGGGGAGGTGGGCAGTGGCCGGCGGTGCCCATGTGGTGACCGCAGGCCTGTGGCCTCCTGCCACTGTCATTCACTGCACCCAGCCCTTGCTGCCACACAGACTTAAGGACCAAGGAGAAGTTGCCTGGGGGCAGCTTCCCGACGTCCTCTCCCTTGAAGCCACCAGGCCAGAACTAGAGTAGACTCCGCCATCTCTGTCCCGCCGGTGCTCAGCATGGCCATACTGCTGGGCAGTGTCACTAAGGGTCCTGCACTTGGCACGGAGAGGTACCCCTTGGGGTCTCTGGCTGGGCTCTGGGGAGACCTCGGTAACCAAGCCTGGTGTGGGGCACACAGCACCTTCCGGTCACTGCCACTCCCTGCTGTCTCCCCAGGGGCCAGCATTGTAGGAAATAGTGTTGAATGAACGAAACAAATGACCAACGTGCTAGCTAGAAGTTCACAGTGTGTAACCACAGCTGAGCCCTCACTCCCTCTCTTCCTTCCATCTTTCCAGCCTTCCTTTCTTGTAGTACTGGGGATTGAACCCAGGGCCTTTGGACTGAGCTGTATCTCTGGCCTCTTTTCATTTTGATACAGGATCTTGCTAAGTTGCCAGTTACCCAGGCTAGCCCTGCACTTGTAACCCTCCTGCCTCCACCTCCCAGAGTGTCGGGTTACAGGTGTGTGCCACCACACCTGGCTGGGACATCTCTTTACCTGGTGGACAGTGTGGTGCCTAATGTCCCCACTGCCACTGGCAGGCACTCCGTGGCTCTTGTCTGACTGTGTCCAGTCCATGCTGTGTGGCCCTTGCTCTGGGGCAAGGAGGCTCCTTCTGTTCTCTCTGGGGTCTGGGAGAATCCCAGCTGGGGCAGCTCCTAGGTCTCAGATGAGATGCAATCGCAGCCCCTGCTACCCGGGAGCAGCCCAATGCTTTCCCCTCAGGACCCTGCGAGAGGAGGACACCTGAGTGTAGAGGCGGCCTCTGTCCCTGGCTCACCCAGGCAAGCATGAAGAGTCAGAATCCAGGTAGGTGTCCGGCTGGCAGAGAGGGGAGGGCGGAGGTGGGAGAGAAGCCACCACAGGGAGTTTATGGACTAGGACATGGGTCATCGAGGGCTCAGGGCCGAGGCCTGAGCTCTGTTTAAAGCTGCAGGAAAATGGTGCGAGGAGCCCAAGATGCCCCACATTCTTGTCTCTGGCCACTGTCTTGGCCAAGTGGGTGCTGTGCAGACCTGGAAACTGTCAGGGAGACCGAGCCCTGCTTCTGGTGTGAGGAAGTTAAACTCCTATTCAAGCAGCGCCCAGGCAGCATTGCAATAGATGACAGCATGCCTTGCCCTGCCCAGGGCCTCCTGGATGTGGTTCTCTGGGCAGGGCAAGGAATCTGCATTGAGTGTCCCTGTGATTCCTTTAGCCACCACCACACGGGGACCACTGCTCTGTCTGACGAATGACTGCCCCTCCCTCCCTTGCCCCTCAGTCGTTCCCCAGAGGGTGACCCAGGGCCCCGTCTTCTTCCGGAGCACCTGCTCGGTCATGGCTTGGATGCAGATGTCCTCCCGAAGCCTCACGTGCTCATAGGTGGGGCTTTTGTGAGGTGGCTGGATCATGGGCATGTGATGCTGGATCAGGGTGTGCATGACTAAATTGTTTTGGCATAGTTCTGAGTGTGAGCAATGGAAGCCCCACCCTGTGTGTGGGTGGCACCAACAAATAGGCTTGTCGCCTGGAGAGACGAAAGGACAGAAAGAAGGCAGGCTGCTGCGCTTCTTGCTGTTGCACTGCCACAGACTGTTTCTCCTCTGCCGTGCCCTCTGCTATGTCACCCTACCTTGGAGCCAGCTGACTGTGGACTGAAACCTCCACACACTGTGAGCTAAATAAACATTTTCCCCTTTAACTTTGGGTATTGGGTATTTTGCTTCAGCGAGGTTTTAGAGAACCCAGACTGCTTCCTTTGTTCTGCAGCTTCAACACAGGGCCTAAGCCCAAATTTCTGGGCACCGCTGGATGTCTCTGAGTGGATTCTCCTTGGCAGACTCAACTCAACACGTCCTGCCCTGAATTCACAGCAGTTCCCACACAGCTCTGCTGTCCTCTCCCTCCATTCCTCCTCACCACCCTTCCATCCCCACCTCTACTCTGCTACAACCGGTCACGAAAGTCCTCACTCACAATGCTCCCATGGCTCCCACTGTCCTTTGAATGAAGTCCAAACTCCTCGGAGGCCCAACAGGGACTCTGCCCATGTGTTCCACCTCCCCCTGCCCACCCCTCAACACAGGCTTTAAGCACAAGGAGCTGTCCATAATTCCCCAAGCACGTCTTAAAGTGTTCTATGTCTTTCTCATACTGATACGATCCCTACAGAACTAAAGTTCTCTCTTGAGGATAAAAAATCTCAATGTAAAGCCCATTGCAACACTTGCTTGTGGTACCATCTACAATGACAGCTATAATTCACTCTGCCCCTTTCCATCCCAGCCCCCTAACCAGGGACAGTGAAGGGAGGGAGGGGTGCAGGCTTCTGGCTGTAGATGACGGAAAGGAGAGATGCTTGCAGCCTCCTGTGGCCTCACTTGCTGCCGGCACCTTTGTTGAGCCTCCTCGAAGAGAGACATTTGCCCATGCATGAGTCCTTGCAGGTCCTGGGCACGTGACGAACACAAAGATGAAGGTATAGGCCCGCTCTCCTTGGCCATGCCTAGGAGACAGTAGCAGCTGTACTCACAGGAAACAGCGAGGACTTCTGGGCTGGAGCCAGGCGAGTAGGACAAGGCATTACCGCTCCCTGCATGTGAACACAGACTGGGTGGACAGGGTCTTGGTTTTGTGCAGCTCTGTGTCTCAGCATCCAGAGTGGTGTCCGACGTGGCAGGACTCGCTGCACGATGCTGAATGAAGACGGAGTGAATTGCAAACACTGCATGCAAGGAAGGGTGGGCTGGGTTTCTCTCTGTGAGCTTCCTGAGGGTGGGGCTGCTGTCTGCTCCCACGTTTACAGCCTGGCATCGAGTTCAGCGTCTCTCGGGCACTCAGTCGGTGCTGGTGATGCTGAGAGATGTCCCAGCTGTGTTCTCCTCTTACCCTCCCCCGTGTCTGTAGTTATTGGCCTTCCTAAAGAAAATGTTCGTGCCAAGCTGACAGTGGTTTTAAAGAAAAACATCTTTAAGCAACCCAGAAAAAAAGTCCTGGGGATGGAAAACAAGTCAAAAGAAAAAGGCCAAGAAACAACATTTTAATGTCATTAACTGAGGACCGGTTACCTTGACCAGTTTTTGAATGAAATGGAAAAGTGGACCATGATAGTAAGACATTTTATTCACAACACTTGGGCTGCATCCAAAACCCAAATATTGCTATATAGAGGCCAGAGTTTAGAGTTATTAAAAATATGTATCCAATTCAAATTAAATAAAAAGGTCAAAGGTCTGGAGAATCTGTCTGTTGCTCCCCCCTCCCTGTAATCTAAACTTAACCAACTGAATCTCTCTTCCCAGTGTTGGACAGTTACACCAGGCTTGGAAGCGGCAGCTCTCTGCGTGTCAGAATCACCTGCGGCCCGGCTGTCTGAGCCACTCCCCTGCTCCACACCCGGAAAACCTCCAGGAAGAGCGTCACAAGCAAGCGACCACTGTCCTTGCCCTGTTCAGCTTCCCAAGCAAGTAGGTGACCCAGACAGGAAGTGAGCAGAGAGGAAGCAGAAGGTGCGGCTGCAGGTGCATTTCTAGCCCTCGGTGGGGTGCAGCTGCTCCTGCCAGTCCACACTCAAGGTGGCATGTGTGCCCCACGCTTGAGTGTATCTCACTCAATTGCTGCCCTGGCTCAGGAACCACATGCTTCCTTCTGCCTGGGTCCTGAATGACTGCTGTCCCCAACTCCACTTATCCCCAAGGTCACCACCCAGTGTCACTGGCACCCTGCACTGCCCCATGAGAGTCGGAGAGACTTCTTCTCTGTGTGCCCTAACGACAGCAGGCACAGCTAGCCACTGCCGCATATGGGGAGCGTTAGGGGCCTTCCTGGGGAGATGGGGCACCAGGCTATGGCCCGTGAGGAAGGCGAGCCTTGCAGGGACACCGAGGTTGGTCCTCACCAAAGCAGTTAGGCTGGGGGGCACTTGCTGCCCCACCCCAGGCAAACTCTGCTCTGTTGGGCTCTTCTGGGGAAGCCCTGTTACCTCTACTTTCAGCCCCATGCTGTTGGCACCTGGCACCCTCCAGGTCACCCTTGGTTCAAGAAGGTTCTCCCTTTTCCTCTTCTATGTGTATCTCTTTTTCTCTCCCATCTTTTCTTGCATATTCCAACCGAATATTTAGTTTCCAGAGCATCCCCAAATACTAAAATGAAAACCATAGAAATGATGCTATTCTGTGACTGCCCAGGTGTGTGCATGCATGCACGCCTGTCATCTCAGCACCCAGGGAGGCTGAGGCAGGAGGATCGCAAATGGAAGCCCAGCCTGGGCAACTTAGCGAGACCCTGTCTCAAGATAAAACTGAAAAGGACTGAGAATGTAACTCAACACAAAGGCCCTGGGCTCCTCCCAGTGCCAGGGGAGGGCCCCGTGAGCAGAGATGTAGATGATGCTCTCCAGTGTCCACACGGAAGCGTGTTCTTCCTTATGGCTTCTGCTCTCAGGGCCCGGGCTCTGACCACCGACCTTCTGGGCCCGACCCCTGCACTACCTTTTGTCTGGCACAGGGTCCCAGGCAGGCTGTTTACCCTCCTCTGCTTTGGGCGTGTTTCATGGCCGTGGTGAGACACAGACAGCAAAGGCCTCGTGACCATGGACTCCACGTGCCGGTGGACTCCCAGGCCCGGGAGCAGTGCGTGGGCAGGACCACAGGGTGCAGTGGGCTGGGTGCGGGTTATGGGAACGTGGAGAGGGCGGCAGCTGTGGCTGCTCTGCCCCAGTGAGCAGTGTCCCCAGCCTGGCACAGGGCTGTCCCTCGTCCTTCACACGGGCAGTAGCAGTGGTGGCCCTGAGCGTGGTGCCCCTAGGGAGGCTGGCTGTGGCTCTGGGTACCGCCTGTAGGAAGTAGCTCCCGGGGTGGTGAGGCCCCGGTCAGAGCTCAGGGACGCAGGAAACAAGGAGAACCAGGACGGCTCCCTGCTCCAGGCATTGGGAGGCTCGGCTCCCACCTTCCCGGCTGCTCCTGCCTGCAGGCCCAGCCCCCGGCCCATGGCCTGGGAAGGCCTTCCTCGCCTTCACCGCCTCCTGTCCTTGGAAGTTGTGCCTGGCGTGGCCCCCAGCCTCGCTCTGGGTCTGTCTCGGGCCTTTGCTGGGGACCTGCTGGCCCTCAGCCTTCACTGCTCACATCCCCACGACGTGTGCGGTCACCCAGGCCCCTCCAGGGTCCCCCCTTTGCTCCCCAGTCTCACTTTCGCCTGTGACAAAGACGAAGGCTAAGTTTACAACTCTGAATAGACAATGAAGTCGCTGGAGACAGACGGTGGCCTCTGAGCCAGCACAGTGACAAACAGGCCAGCGGGGCCCGAGGAGCTCATTACAACCATCCCCACCCCGCCCTCCAGGCCTGTCCACGGGCCGAGGTGGCTCCGCACGGCCTGGGCTCACAGAGCGCCCTGTGCTCCACTGCGCAGAGGAGGAGGGACCCCTGCCCAGTCTCCGGCTCTCAGTGTCAGATCGGGTGAGCTCGGCCCCTGCAGCGGTGGCAGAGCTGGCCTGGGCCAGGTGCTATGGGCCAGAGGCTCCAGGCCCACCATGGCCGGGGGACAGGGCTGGTCATGGGGCTGTCCTGAGGGGTCCCAGCCCTTTCCTGCCCTCTTGGCCACTCATATTCTCCCTGTCTCAGGGTCCCTCCCAGTCCCCACACCTGGTTCCCTCTGCCATGCTGTGATGCCACCAGAGCCCCGTCTGGACTCGGCCCCTCTGCCCGGACTCACCAGACTCCAGGCAAATTGCTTGTAGAACCTGTCTGTCCACAGCAGTCTCGCCCAGCGGGAATGGAAGAGCCAGCCTGGGGGACCAGAGCCTAAGCTGGGGGGGAGTCTACTGCTGCGTTCCCAGCATCGAGATCCGTGCCCGGTTCATAGCAGGAGCTCAGTTAATAAACATGGAATAAATACTACCGGCCACCCAAGGAGAGGTCCTCGACTGCACTATAGTCCAGTGTGAGGGGGAGGCTGGGAGGTAAGCGATGGGGACTTCGTGCCTGGGGCAGAGAGAGCCAGATCCGAGGAGGGGTGCTCTGTGATCCCTGGTTTGGAAGGAGGACTCTGGGCCTTCGCTTTGGCGCCTCTGCCCACTGTAGGGAAGAGAAATAAAGCACCACCCCCATAGGAAGTAAGCTGTGATCTCTCCTGCTTCTCATCTGCCTCACTCCCTTCTTCTTTGGAAAGATGCATGCAGGCCACGCGTCCTGCAGAACCCAAGGCCCAGAGCAGTCACAGGACACTCGGGATGGTGCTGGAGACATCATCATCCAGCGTCCAGGGCAGACGACCCACGCCCTGGTCCTCCCCGTCCTCACCTGAAGATGAGCATGACCCCCTCTCCACTTCTGCTGTGAGATGGTACTGACTGAACTGTCTCCTCTCCTCCCTCTCCTCCACCCCTGTACCTAGAATGCAACTACATTTGGAGATGGGGCCTTTAAAAAAGCCAATCAAAATAGGTCCTTAGGCTGGTCGCTGATGCCCTCTTTATAAAGAGATAGGACACAGGTCCCACAGGTGAATGGCTGTAAACTCACAGGGAGGATGGTACTAAAGCCAAGAAGAGGCCTTGGGAGGAAAGAGACACCCAGAACTTTGACCTCGGAAGAAAATGAATCCAGTTTAGAGCTGCAGTGTTTTGTTCTGGCAGCTCTGGAAAATAATCTATGTGGTAAGGTAGAGAACGGATACATGGTGTGGTAGCTGGCCCAATGCTTGTCTTTTTCAGCTGCATTAACAGAAGGAAGTTACCTGAGACAGTGCATGCCCGAGCCCCCTGGCCAGGCCCCTTTCTGGATCAGACTCGAAGACCAGCTCCATTCAGCAAAAGGCCAGCGGGCTGGCAGGGAGTCTGGGAGCCAACACAGAGGGGAGCAGCTGTGCACGACCCACAGAAGAGAGGGTTCTGGGGACACTGAACCGGCCCACATGGAGCCGAGCCACCTGGCTTTGTGGGAGGCCCAGGACAGAATGCAGCTGGACGGGTTTGGGGGGTGGATGGGGTCAGCAAAGGGAAGGCTAAGAGCCTCCTGGCAAACACAAGGGACTTTTCCAGGATGACCGGATAGGTTGGGTGACAGCTTCTGAGAAGTCGGACAGGTTGGTGCTGGAGGGACACGGGTGGCCCTTTTGGCCCCAACATTCTTGGTATAAGTGGGTTGCACTTCCGCTGAAGATAAATTCCAGTGACACTTACGATATACACCTCTTCTGGTTGTAAAAGCACACGCATGGTCAACAAATATTTTTGAGCTTTGTGAATCTGATGAGTAAAGGAGGTAGAAAGTTTACTGAGGAAAAGTGGAATAAACATTTCACCTGTGAAGGACAATCATAAGACCTGGGGAAGTCGAGATGCCCACAGACAGTACTCTGGTGCTTCATACTACGGGCTTCAGCAGGTGCACGCTTGTGCAAGGCAGAACCCTAACTTTGCTCGGTGTGAAGCTGCCATCTCCATTTTACAAAGTGGGAAAAAATACTGAGCTTGAGTTATCTACTAAAAGCTAATCTATCCTGTGAGGATTTGTTAAAATTACTCTCAGTAAGAGTCGACGCGGTAAAAGCTGTAATTTTCCAACTACCATCATAGGTGAGATTTTGGGAAAGTCGATAGAAGTGCGGGATGATTTGGTGGCTGGATCAGAACCTCGGTTTTCAGAGCCACAAACTGTCAGGGAATGAGGGGGGCCGCTGGTGCAAGTGCTGCCTGCTGCTACCACCTCCTTGGTGAGCGTCGCTTCATTAGGGGGTGTCACCGGCGGGGGCGGCCTGGGGGACCCCGAGGACCCGCGCAGATGGGTGGGGGTAGAACCCCAAGGGCCGGAGCACCGGCAACTGCGTGGAGTCCCAGCACCCCGGACCTCCGGATCGCGGGCCTGGGGCGCAGACCCCCGGCCCTCTGCGCCCGACCCGAGGCCTCCCCTCCCCCATGCGCCCCCTCACCCGGCCGAGGCCCCGGGGCCCGCGGGATCCAGGCCCGGCAGAGCCTGAGCCGCCCGGGAGCCCTGCGGTCCGGGCCGTCCTGGGGTCCCCGGTGGTGTCTCCGGGCGCGCGCCCCACTCCCCGAGTCCCGCAGCCGGGAGGATCCGGGGGGCGGGCCGGGGGCGGGGACCTAGCGGAGAGCGCGAGCGCCGGCGGAGGCGAGCGGCCCGCGGGGACCTTGGACGCGACCCCGAGGCCGCGGCGGCCGGGCACGCGCAGGGAGGACGGGGCGCGCCGGGCAGGTGCAGGCGCGCCGGTCTCCTATTGGTCC